GATGACGATACAGAGGTGGAGCCTTCATCTAATGTTTATTAATTGTATAAATTACTCAAATATCTCGTTATTCGTGTGCCGCTTGTTTTGTCTTGTAGGCAGACTGTATTTTTGTGAAGTTGTGAGTGCAAACTATATATGTATATAATTAAAATAATGATTATTACTGTTTTTGTTGTTACTATTCGTTACAATTTATCGGCGAGCTTCAGAAATCAGAGATATTTTTGGAGTTACATGTGTGTCATATCATATCATTTGCGTAATGTATTGTGATTGTAATTAATATGAATACATCAATATGGGTGTCATATGTTAATTTTTCGTTTCTATATATCCTATCTATCTATCTATCTATCTATCTATCTATCTATCTATCTATCTATCTATCTATCTATCTATCTATCTATCTATCTATCTATCTATCTATCTATTTATCTATCTATCTATCGATCGATCTATCTTTTCTATCTATCTATCATTCTATCTATCTATCATTCTATCTATCTATCATTCTATCTATCATTCTATTTATCATTCTATCTATCTACCTCTAATTTTGTTTATTAACGTTATCGTTGTTGCATTGTCGCGTTTTTCATTACGTTGTTTACTGACCGCAAAAATTTCATAAGAATTGAACTATCAAATAGAATTTCAAATTTTTTTTGTTGAAACAGTACTTCACTTTTAAAAAACTTTTACTTTTCAAACAATAACATCTCTCGCGGAAGTTTTTTCTTTTTGTATTTTTGGCAAATATATTTAAGATTTTACTAATTTGAATTTTCAAATTTTTTTTTAAATTATGATATTTGGGTGAAAGTTTTTAATTCTCAAGTTTTACAACGTTTAAACCGAACAACCATGTTTAATAATCAGAACAAACCACAACTACAGCCGAAGCCAAAAATTGCTGATAAAATGAAAATATTCAGCCAGTCCACAGAAAAAGAAAACGAGTGGGAAGTTAAGGTTGTTCCCAAGCCTCGAACCAGCATCAAAAAAAGAAACGCTGCAATGAAGTTTATTGATGATGATGATTCAACAACTTACAATTACAATGCTGGTCATTCCTCCCACACATCAGTAGCAACAACACAGGCAGCTACCTTCCAAACCACAAAACCATCAGCAGCTGTTGCAGCAGCTACTACAGCGACGTTGCAACAAGCTCTACCTCCCACAGATGATGATGAGATGCTTATAAACATAGCTAAACCGCAAAATGCTGTTATCACGTTTGATGATCAAGAAGATGATAATAATTTTGTTGGTAATAACGACGGTCAAGATGGAAATAAAGAAGATTTTTTAAACTCATCATTCTACTCTTCATCTTCATATCAAATGACTCTGCCCAAAAACAGTGAAGAAAAGATTATTTTTTACAAACCACAAACAAGCGAAAAATTTCAATCAGAGAGACACACGAGTGATGGTTATCTACCTGCCACAAAAGAATTTAACAAGGATACTAATTTACCTAATATTGTTAAAAAATCTCCAAGCAAACGAGTGAGCAAAACTGATGATGATGTTTTTAGTTGCACCTCTTCAAGTGTTCAGAGAAATTATTCATCTTGTTGGAAAAGTGAAGAAATTCTATCATTGGAGCCTGTGGCCTCCATCGAGAACATGTTCGACTTCGACTCTAATTTTGGTAATGATGCAAATAATTACCCAACTATGTCAAGAATTGAACCGTCTCCTGAAAAATTTATTGATGAAATTATTAGGATTAGAAAATCCATGGATGTCGGCCACAAATTTACTGATAAAGGTTTGGGTGGTTTTCAGTCTGAGCCTAGGCTTTCTAACTTTATTCCAAAACTTGATGATGATGAAGAAGATGATGGTGGTGGGTGTGGGAGTGGTAGTGGGGTTAATAACGGTGCCGTTGGTGGTGGGAAGAAAAATTCAAAAGTTGAATATGCAAATTTGTTAGATGGAAAGATGATTGGCCAGCAAGATTATGGTAGGCAGAGTTATAACATTTTCTATAGTTTTTTTTATAAATTTTTGATTAATTTATTTATAATTCTTAATTTATTTACGATATTTATTTTTCTCATAAACTACAAACAATTTTTTAAACCCTTATCCATTCTCAATTGTTGTAAACATTTTTTCGAATTTATATTTTAACCGTTCCAACTTTTACAAAATCTGATTTTATTGGGTAAAACTCCTTTATTTTTTGTTTCTAATTTTAATCTATTTATTTATTATTCATAAATATCATTAATTTTTTCATATTATTTGTGAGAATTATGATCAATAGAGTGTTTTTTGTCTTTTGCAGTCAATTTGAATCCAGTAGATTTCAGCAAGTAAGTTTAAAAAACTTTTAACAATATTATTAATAATTACTATTATTATATTATTAAAATGTAATAATACATAATTAATTATTATTATAATAATAAAATATAATAATTATTATTATTTTATCGTAGATGATTATATTTTTCTTTACAAAATTTTTTTTCAAAAATGTTTCAAGAATATGTGACGAGGAGAAAGTCAGGAAGATGAACGCCTTTTTTGGTGAAACTGTTAGATTTAAATTTTGAAAATTTTGTTACATATTTAATAATACTACTACAAAAGTTAGATGATAATATTAAATTAAAAGTTAAAAATAAATGATTAAAATTTCAAAACATTTTTTTTTCATATTTGGAAGAATGAAATGAAATCTCATGAAAACTTTTGAAATTGCAGAAAGACACAGCCACTCCCTTAGAAACTCAGATTTTTACGTCACTCATTTCAGGCCATGCCCTCAAGCAGTTTAGCGACAGGCAGCCATTGAAGCAGCAGCAACAGCAGCAAAAAGGCAGACGTTCTTTGAAGAGTAAAAATAATCCTACAGAAAATGTAACCAAATTCATTTAATGATGATAATAAGTTATTTGAAAAATATTTTTCTATGAAATATTCAAAGACATAATTTTAAGACGTGTTTTTTTTATCATATAATTTAAATATCCACGACCATCATCACCATGCAAATCACCATCATTTTCATGATCGTCGTCGTCATCATCATCATTTGTAGGCCTCAGGCCCTGCACAATTAGTTCATGACCTTGTGATGGTGAAGAAGAAGGCCATTAAAGAAGGGGTGAAATTCCTCAATAAGAGCATCGGTTTGTGATGATGATGATGTAGATTTTGATGATGATGTTGACGATGATGATGTTAACGACGATGATGATAGTGTCACTGGGTTTGAATGCTAAAAAATTCTCCTACTAATCTTCTCATGTATGACGAATTTGTTGTTCTTCACATGCATGCTGTTGTTGTTTATGTGGAAAATGATACCAAGTAACTTGACGACACACACACACACGCACACAGAGCGCTATATAAATGACAGATTATTATTATTGTTACTATTATTATTATTTCTGTACTTTTTCTACTTCCTCTTCTTTTCCTCTTCTTCTTGTTAATGATATTTAAATTTGTATTAATGACGTGTACCTATTCACTGTGACAGTCATTTTGGTATGGGAGTCAAATTTTGTACAGTATCAATACCACTTCTACCAATATTTATAATAAATAATAATAAAAAGATAATGATATAATTATTGTTGATATAATTAAAAGTAATGATAATTATTATTGTAATTATATTAATTATTTGTTTAGCTGGTTTGTTTAGTTTATTCATTAAAAAGAGATGTTTTTGGAAATAAATTTAACGTCATCATGGTCATAAATACGTGCGTGTGTGTGTGTGTGCGTGTGTGGGTGTGTGCGTGTGTGTGTGTGTGTGCGTGCGTACGTGCGTATGTATTAAATAATTTTTCCAATTACAAGTATTTATTTTACTAACTCAATCAAAAAAAATAATAATTTTGAAGTTTACAGAGCTTTCGTCTAGTTTAAATGAGATGACGACGACGACGACGACGATGATGATGTTAATACTACTAATACTACTGCTATTACTATTATTACTACTACTACTACTACTACTGCTATTACTATTATTACTACTACTACTACTACTGCTGCTATTACTATTATTATTACTACTACTACTACTACTACTACTACTACTACTATAATAACGACAGTGTGGCCTTTTAAAACCTCATAGAGTATACTGTTTTTATTCTTCCCTCGATGAAATGTTACAAATTTTTGGAAAGAAAGTTTAAGAAAGCGATGGAATAAAAACTGCAGACATTTTTTTTATATCGGAAAAACCCGCCAAAGCAGAAAATCTTTCGTCGTCGAGGCCGGCCCTGGATTGGTCGTCATGGAAACAGAAGTTGATGAAGGTCATGAAAGGGCCCCAAGGTCACCAGCATGCGAAGGCTTCGTTCGTCGTTGATACGTTCGGAGTGCCCATCCACATGTGCCCCATGTCGTCTGCTCGAGATCATCAGGTGGGTGGTGTTGGTGGTGGGGTAAGGATGCTGAAGAATGAATGAATGAACCAACGAAGGAATGAATGAATGAATATGTGAAGGAATGAAAGAGTGAGTTGTATACATGTTCATAGCTTGGAATACAAAATCCAACATGAATTTTACATTCATATGTTTTGAAATTAGTAGCAGTTTGGTCAAATTTTTCTCTGCTTTGGATTGTTTTTTTTTATTGATTTCTGCTATTTATTTCCTCCCTAGCACATTCCTGCTATCGTTGAGTTCTGCGTGGGTGTTGTTGAAAGTCTTGGAATTTCCAACAAAGGTATTTATAGAATTCCTGGAAATAACGCGGGCGTTAATGAACTGATAGCCGAACTGAATAAGGTTGGCTGCTCTAACGTGAATAAAATGCTAGTGATGAATATTATTAATATTAACTACTCGTCAATAATTGACTGACCGAACGACTGATGGATTGATTGATTGGTTGATTGATTGATCGATTGATTGATTGGTTGATTGATTGATTGATTGATTGATTGATTGATTGATTGATTGATTGATTGATTGATTGATTGACTGATTACAAATCAGGATCCAGACATGATAAACTTCGAGAATGACCGATGGATGGATGTTAATGTCGTTGGCAGTCTTCTGAAGTTGTTCTTTAGAAAACTGCCCGAACCTCTCATGTCCTATGGTCAGTAATAATAATAATAATAATAATAATAATAATAATAATTATTATTATTATTATTATAATGATGTAGATGACGATAATGATTGTTGGTGATATTGTTGTCGATGATGATATTGATGTCGTTGTTTTATTGCTGTTGATGATGATATGATAAGATATACACTCACACACACACACACACACACACACAGACATACACACGCACACAGACAGACATACACACGCACACACACACACACACACACACACACACACACGGACACACGCAAAACAATAAACTTGTAAACAATAACAAATGCACATACAGAATTGTACGACCTAGCGATACAAATTTCTCGAATCTCCGACCACGAAAAGAAGTTACTAAAATTAAAATCCCTTCTCGTCGAACTGCCAATCACGAACAGGGAAACCTTCAAATTTCTGGCCAATCATCTTCACAGGATTGCCGAAAACGAGCCTGAGAATAAGGTCAGCCAATCAGGGCAAAGCTAATGAAATGAACTTCTTGCTTTATTTGTTGATTGGTTGAATTGGAAGGGTTTATTTGTATGAAAATGATGATTGGAATAGAAATAAATAATAACAACAATAACTACTACTACTACTACTGTTAGTAATAAAATTATTAGTAGCAACAACAACAACAACTTTATTCATTGAGGCAATTGCTTAGTGCAATTCTGTTTTGCATGGTCTCAGTGAAGATCACCTGGAGTCTATTCAACGGTTCTGAGGTGGCTGCTAGACCAACTCCTCAACTTTCTATAGCTGCCAGTATTTCTGACTACATGAAGATTGAACTTCATTGGCTATCGACTGAGGACAGAATACGATTTGAAATAATTCTCACAGTTAAAAACTGTCTAACTTGAAAGACACCGGCCCGCTTGAAAGAGATGCTAAACTCAGTTTCGAATGTTCCTAAAAGAAATATTTATATCATATCAATCCTGAGGGTTCCGGGATTAATATGATATCAATATTTATTTCAAGGACATTGATATGATATCAATCCTGATGTGTTCGGGATTGATATGATATCAATCACATCAATCAAGCCGCTTGAAACATCATCATCTTTCTAACAAAACGGAGCACAATTAGTAGCGCCTTTGATGATGGCTCAGTAGATTCGCCATACATGTCTATAATACAACACCAATAAATGCATTGCTGAATAATATAAAGTTCATAATAACATTAATAATATTAATAATTATGATAATTTATGCAGATGAATGCGCATAACTTGGCCATAATGTTCGGCCCCTCATTGGTCCACCCACAAAGCGACGACCCTCAAAACGAGCTGACCAATCAGATGATAGCAGACATGAATTTGCAGACACACATTGTGGAGCTTATCATTATTTATGTTAATTTTTGATCTTGTTATTGTTGTTGCTGACATTTTCATTGTTGTTATTATTATTGTTGTCTTTGTTGTGGTTTTTATTAAATATTTTTTTACTTTTCCATAATTTTTATACTTCAAAACTTTGTTTATTGCATCACAGAGTGAATGGCTTTTTTCTGATTGGACGGACGAGGCCGGTTTACCTGCTGTTATTGAGGGGTGTTCAATATTTCTGTCAGCTGATAATAATAATAACCATAATAATAACAACAGCAGTAATAATAATAATAATAATCCTAACAATAGTCTGCAATTACTTCCAAGTACTGAAGCTCTGCGTTAGTAAAAGTTTTGGTTGCTATCACCATTGTTATTGTTAAGCTGGTCATTTGTTCTAAACGGCAAAGCAACATTTCAAACGCAAACACATACACACAAACACACAGTGGCCTTGAAATCAAAAGACCTTGACCTTGATCCTCCGGAAGATTCCTCATCTCTGGCGTTCTTCAGGCAGGGCATTCTCCGTCTTAGCAACCGATCCGTCAAATCGAAAAATAAATTGTCAAAAGTCGATTCGCCACCGCTGGCAGCGGCTGCCCTAGATTCGACCAATCAGATCCAAGATGAAGAAAAAGAGGTCATTTTGAAAAAACTTAACGTACTCACGAGAAGTTACTACATGTGGAAGAATAGGTCAGTAGCGAGTGATGAAATGACTGGCAAGGAGAGATATGTTCTCAGCACCAGTGGGGATGGTAACAACCAGCCATCCAGTGCTAATTTGAAGAGGAATCTGACTAAGAAGTATGCCAGTAACGAGCTAGAGATCTCCGCACCGATAAACAGTTCACACCCATCCCTGATTGAAAAACAAAACTTGGAAAAACCAGGCGTCAATCGAGACGATTCGTTTTCGAGTATCAAGCGATATCCGGCATATTCATTTAAAAATAGCACCATCACCAGGAGAGATGGGCGGGGTGAGGTGAAAGGAGGGGGAAATTATTCACCTCAAACTTCGTCCTCTTCCTCGTTATCTATAAATAAATATGCCGCAAACGAAAGTGCCAGCTACGCTGATGATAACTCTGTGAGGAATTTCCCTACTACGTGCAGCGATCTATTTTTATCTCGCCTGGATTCCCAGCAAGGAGGGCATCGAAATTTGATGGAAAGTGAAAGTTGTGATGGAATGATGTATTCGTCGAGTAGAAGGAAGGAGAGCTTCGTCGTTAACAATCCACATGGAAGGAGGTTGTTATTATTATTATTAAATAAAAATTATTATTATTATTATTACATTATATTGCTTGAATTTTCAACGCTTTCACTTTCATTTTCATTACAGATATTTTGTCCCTTCAAGTACTGATTCAGTTTCATTGTTCCTTCATTCATCCAATCGCGCGCTCTCTCGTTCCGAAGTTAGGAGGTCGGTTTTATCATCCACTCTATCTAACTCTAATCCTCCGGAAGATGGTGATTACGAAAATTATGACGTCATAGCCAGATCCCAGCCCGTTCCTAGCCTGTTTTCGGAAACTCAAAATCCCTTAGATATCCCCCTCTGCAAGTATAATGATAGGAAGAGAGCTTTTTAAATGAATTAAAAAAAAATTCGCGCAAATTTTTATGGTTCCACGATTATTTTCTAGTAGTAAAATTATTTCACAGATTTTGATGAATTTAATTACGCGGCAATTTTATCAAACTGACTTTGATATAATAACGGCTTTTATTTAATCATACTCTTAAATACTTTTTTTCTATAAAACAGCCTGTGATTCATCTCAATTAAACAATTTTATTCATTTATTTATTTTATTACATGCTATTTCTGCGGATTATCATCCAACATTCATCTCATATTAAATATAATTTGAACTTTGAACTCAGGTCTTGCATAATTAAGTTTCAAACAAGATAATTTAATGTTGATGCATATGTACATGCACATACGCATACACGCATGCATACATTACATATAGTGACATTCGTACATTGATCATACTTTTTTGCAATGAAAACGTTTTGTTTTATTTTTTCCAACACATATACCCACATTATTTTGAATCTTTTTTATAGATGATTTTGCATTTTTTGCTTGCTACAATAAGGGCGTTACAATGTTTATTGATAAGAATATTATTGTGTTTTACAACATTTTATGATTCATCTATCATGTTGATTTACTTTTTGCCTTCCTTACATCTCTCTCTCTCTCCTCTCTCTCTCTCTCTCTCTCTCTCTCTCTCTCTTTGTGTCTTTTTTCTCTCTCTCTCCCCCTCTTTCCGTCTTTCTTTCTCTGACTTTCTATGTTTATATAAATATATATATATATATAAACTTAGTGTTTGTGTGTGTTTGTGTATATAGATTTTCTCTCTGTCTCTTTTTATACATGTACTTATATAGAATATACATATTTTTACGCACAGACTCTACTACACATGTGTGTGATGTGTGTGGATTTCTACACGAACGTTAAGGTTGTAACGGCTCTCCATTATTTTGATTGACATAGTTGTGTTTTTAAACGCGTGCCTAAAGTTTAAAGAATTCCTCATATATTTGCTATATATGCTGTGCTAACCTAAAAATTATTGAGTCTATAACTATTATTATTATTATCATTATTATTATTATTATCATCATCATTTGTTGTTCATGCAATGAAATGATTCCTGATTTTATCATTCTTCCATCATCGTGTTATAATTTTAAATTTTTACGTATATACAATATATATATTTATATATATTTTATATATTATATATATATATATATATTTGTTTACATTGTAATGAAATAGTTTGATGTGTGAATTTTTTTATAATTTTTACTTAGTTCAGAGCGGATCTCAAGACCCATCTGTTTGCAAAATTCACTGAGGATCGTTGATTGATTGATAATAATAATAGTTATATGTATATATATATATATATATATATATATATATATATATACATACAGAGATGTACCGAATATTTGGTCGAAATTTGACATTCGGTTTCAGCCATTCTTAAAAGACGAATAGTCAAATATTGCAATACTCGTTTGCAATAAACCATCAAATTTTTGGATTCCAGAACAATTATTATTGATCGTTATTATCACCGATAAATTTTTTGGCCATCATAGCTGTTGAAGCATCTGATTTTGAACGAGAGATTCATGGAATATTATCCCGACAAAGAATTGTTGGATAGACATAAATTGCTTTAAGAGCTTGTTTTTCATTCTAAAAAATAAGATTTTTTTTATCAATTTTTTGGTATTTGGCCGAATATTGAATTAACTAATTAACTATTCGACCAAATTCGGTATTCGCTGCATCCCTGATACATATATGTAAATGGGATTCCGTAACAAGTAGCATTTATCTGTTATTTATTAGATAGATTTGGTATTCTACAAAGTGCTTTGATGACAACAAATTATTTGCTAAAATAGTTGTGTTCATCATTAGTGAAACATATTAATGATCATACATACAAACAACATACAAAATACATACAAACACACACACACACACACAGACGTAAATAATCACATACGTTCGTACAAAATCGTTTTTTTATTTACATTTATTTAATCATACTATTATTCTTTAATTATTTACAGTTATTTTTAAAATTTGCTTGCCTAAATTACTAGATTAAAAACCGAACTACAAATAAAGGTCTTTTTCTATTAAAAATTTAATTGTTTAATTGATTAATTAATTGGTTGACTGATTGATTGATTAAACGGGTGATTGATTGACAGATTGGTTCATTGAGATGAATCTAAATATTACTGTTCTTTTCATTTTATTTTTTTTAAACGTTTTCAATCCTTAAATAATGATCTACGAATAGATGTCTTAAAAGGCAAAGGCGTTCAATTACGTGTGTAATAAGAAATATATTAGGCGCAGAAATTGTACAAGCACTAGACTGTTATAAGACTTTTCTTATTCTCTCTCTTCCATCTTTATCTCTCTCTCTCTCTCTCTCTCTATATATATATATATATATATAATTATATATATATATATATATATATATTCTTGGCTTTATTAAAAAATCATAAATGAAGATAGGATCATTAAAATAACGCTCCCATTTTGTTTAATGATTTTATTTTCAAAAGTATATATATATATATAATTATCATATAAGTATATATATATATATATATATATATATATACTTAGATATAGAGTATAAGTATATAGTATACATGTGTGTATATGTATATACTTACTGAACAAGCCAAAAATTATGGTAAGAAATCAGATATGGCTTACATACATATACATCAGGGTTGTTAACATTCAATGGTATTCAAAAATCGTCAATAGCAATAGCGGCTTTAAAATGTATTGCCGATATCAATAGCGATACTTGTTTCTGGGGGCATATCTGGCAATACCGATAATGATACTTTTGTTTTTTTTTTTCAATTTTAAGGACAGCGGAGATTGAAACAAATTTTCCAAATGCAAACATGCAAAAGACGGCGAAATTTAGTTCTAGATACTGAACTTACTAATTAGAAAACGCTCTAAACTTTGAAAATTGAAATGATCATTAGTGAAAGAAAATATATCCGCTTGACGTTCAAAGCGATGGTATCTGTCTAAAAAGTATCGACGATATCGAGTTCGATCAATATTCGGTATCAAAATTATTGCCGATATCAGAGCAAATATTAAAAAAGTATCGTTGGTATAGTATCGGCGATAGCGGTATTTCGATATTACCAGCCCTGATATACATAGATATGTATACGTATAAATACATACGCACGTATGTATAAAGGAAAACATAATAATACTAAGTAATAACAATAGTGACAGAGCCACACTTGATAACGTCCATAAATATCAGTAAATAATAAAAATAATAGCCGATCACAACAACAACAACATTCAACCATTAATATCAGCAATTACAAACGAACAACAAAAATAATAATAATAAGCGTAATAATAATATTTATATAAATAATCGTAATAATAATAATAAATATGTGTACAAGGGTTTAATTCACTCCACACTGATGACTTTACTATGAACAAGCGTTAGTAATTGGAAAAATGAATAAAATTATCTTATGGCAGGTTTCATCACCAAAATCACCATCACATAGTCATTATCGTCATCATTATTAGCATTATCATCGTCGTTATTATTATATATATTATTGTTAATGATATTATCATCATTGTCGTCATTATCATCATCATCAATGTAGTTAAGTAACTACTATCATCATTATAACCTAGATAAAACACTGTTTGATATTTATTAGTTTATGTTTTATTAATATCACTATATGCGCAAAAATAACAGTCTATCTAGTCATAGCAATTATTATGTGTGTGTGCACGTGTGTGTGTGCGTGTATGTGTGTTTATTCATAACACAGTTATGCAATAAAAGTTATACAATAAAGTAATCATTTCATGGTAATAAAGTAATTATGTGGTTGCCATGGTAACTTCCCCGAGTTGTTTGACCTTGAATGACCTTGGTAGGGTGACAAAAGCCGATTGGTTGCTTGGTATGCTAGGTACATTTTGTTGTTGGTGTTGGGATTGGGATTGTTGTTGGTGTTGGGATTGTTGTTGTTGTTGTAATGGGAGTTTTGCAATTATTAACGGAGGCTTGGTGTTGTCAAGTGTGTTGTTAGCAAGTTGTTGTCTCTGAGAGGTTGTGGTAATGTCAGCAACAGCAAAATCAATGTTGTTGTTGTTGCTGGGGGTAGTGTTGTCGTTGATGTCACGACACACGCTTATGACATTAGTAATACTTTTAATCATAACTTCTTTCTTACCAGCTGAACTACAAGTTTCAGTGTTGTTGTTGTTTTCATCATCTGTTGACAAGTTGTTGTTGTTACTGTCACTGATGACATTGATGTCATTGATGGCTATTTTCTTATGCCTTGCAACGCCATCAGAACCTTCGATGAAGTCATTGTTGTTGCTGTTGTTGGGTGAATCACAAAACATCAATAACAATTCGTCAATAGGCGCTCTGTGGCCGTCAGGTATGGAGGATAGTTTCTGTTTTGGGTGAGATGATATAATATCATCATCAATATCACAGTTAACCCATTCAAGTTTTTTATATGATACAATGTTATATGCTGTATATGTTTTATATGTTATATGATATATATGATATGTTATATGTTATATGATGTCACAATTATTGTAAAAATCATCAAACAATCTGATACGCTAATGAACTTTAAGTTCTTATGATGACAGGAAAATATGATAATTGAATTTTTTTTTTTCTAAATATATTCAAGCTAAAAATACATTTTGCAATTTACATGTAAGATACATTAATAGGTAAGTTAAACAGAAAACTGTTGATAAGAAATTTAGAAAAACAAATGAGAGATATAAATATTAATAAAGTATTTTCAATGTTATAAACATACAAATTCAGACAAGAAAGAAAACCTTATGACACCAGCAAAGTTTAAAACATAAGACAACAAATCTCTTAAAATACATTGGACATCACTTTAGTAAAATGATAATAATATACATGATGGCTTAATGATTGTGATAATACAGATGAAGATGGTGATGAAGATGGTGATAGTAATAATGATAATATTGGTAAAAATGATTATAACAATGATGAGTATGATGATGAAACATTGAAATGAATAAAATAATACACACCTCTTTCTCTGCCATCTCATTTGCTAGAGCCAGTTTCTCTAATTCCTAGTTTGAAGAAAAATTTATAAAACATCATTATACCTCTTTTCAAATCACATTTTTAAAAAATGCAAAAACAAACACAAATGTAGGCTAAGACAGGAAACAAAACAAAAACCTGGTTGATATATAAACTAAAAAAACAAAAACCTGATTTAGATATTCTGTGCTGCCTTGGAGCCATTTGCTGAAAGATGGATATCTCTGTTCACTTGCACTGGACTCCAGCATCTTGTGGTAGTTAGTTGCTATGCTGAATGGTAGGTTTGGAGTCAAGTGTCTCCTGAGATTTGAACTTGACGCTTGCATAGGTTTTGGCTTTGGCGGGAGTCGGTTAACACTTATTTAGATTTTAGAAATAAAATAATTTATAAAAAAAAACAAAATTTAATTATAAATACAAGAAAATTCATATTATTGTTTTTAAAGAAAAAAACGTGAATACAGATTTTCCTAATGTGTGAGAGGCTCCACCCTGCAGGCTGTCCATCAAAACGATGGCATCTGATGAAGCTGATCTTTGGATAAAGGTTTTCGTTGAAGAAGCTCCTACAAAATTAAAAAAAAATAATAATCTTTAATTTAAATTTAATGTTTTCTTCATTAATTATTTTTTATTACATTTTAAACTTTCAGTGCTCCGTTAGTAGTAAGTTAGTTTATTCAGATTTTAGTTAGATTAAAAAAACAACATTTTAATTTAATTAAAATAAATTTAAAAGAGAAATTTAAATAACTTACCACTATGAGACGATGTCGATTCGTCTGAAGCAAGGACATCAGTAGCTCTGACTGGCCCCGAAGCAGCTGTCATAGTTGTTGGGGTGAGTAGTTTGATCTTCGGAGAAATTAAGTTCCTCTGAAAATTAGTGAAAGTGTTAGGTGCATTTTTAGATGCCATAAATACAATTTTGTTGAATTAATGCTTTCAGTAAAAAGTAGTGAACAATAAACGAAAGATAAGTTGTAAAAAATAAGTTAATTCAGAAATTCACGCTGTTTGTAAGTTAACTTTTAATCATTTTTTTAAAAGTGAACGCTTTCAGCAAGGCCTGGGATAAACAACACCATAAATAATACTGCGTCTATCTAGGCTAATTATTTAACAATTTTTTCTTTCTACTGCGACTAATTTTTGAATCCGGACATGAAATAACAATCTTTATTATTCTCAACTTCTGTGTTCTTTTTTATGAAGAACATCACTCATCTTCCTGATTCATTCCACCTAAGTAAATTGGCTCACTCCATTCAATAGTACACACGTTCACGTGAAAAGTACACATTTTTGTGACCCTTCTTCATAAAAAAAATTGATTTAATATATTGGAAACGTGGATATATCAGCACATCATCTTTTGCACCAATTTTTTTAAACTGAAGATGTTTGTACCAAACTTCATACACAGTAAATCAGCGATTATAGTGTAGGAGTACTCAAACTGGTAGGGCTAGTTTTTTTTAAAGAATACAAATATGTGATCTTAATGCTTCTTTTGCTTGCAGGAAAGTTAAAATGAAAAAAATTCGATGACACTCATGATGGGTAAATAAACCTATACGTGAAAAAAAGATATCGAAATTCACATATGTGATATTCATACAAACAGGATAGGTATGCTAAACTCTCACTCAAATTCATCGAGTTCCTATACCAATAAAAGAGAATGTTAAAAACTAAAGCGTAACATCTGGATTTTAAGATTTTTTTATTTGAGAAAATAATTTTTTTGTTTAAAAATATATACATTTATATATAAGAGAATTCAACACAGTTGAATACTGACCATAAAGATTCAATCAATCAATTAAGTGAGTAATTAATTTATTAATCAGTCAATTAACCAATTGATTGATTGAATGATTAATTTAAAAAAAGATTTATACGTTGACAGTATGCTAGGTAAAAAATAAAATAAAATATCAAAATGTCACGTATCGACACGATTTAAACGCTCAGAGATACTCTATTAAAATACAAAAAAAGAAACAGAGACAATTGTTAATTATAAATAAATAAATGAATGGATAAATTAATAAATGAGTAACTTAATAAATAAAAATGATCTACATACCTATATAGAAAATAAAAAAAAAACATCTAAATATACATCTCCTACTAAATCTAATTTACATTTTCAACAAGTTTTCAAACATTGCAACAACAATAATAATATCCTTTTTTTCAAAGAAAAAACAGGCAAACTTTTCATACAACCTAACTAGCTATAAAAATATAAAAAAAAACTAAATACAGAGAAGAACAACTAGAGAGTAAAACTAAATAAAAATTATTTTAAACATTAAATATTGATCGAACGTAATAGAGTCATATGCGCGCAATTGCATGCAGCAGGCCAACCTGATTTCATCAATATTACTGTTATTTACGAAAAGTATAGGTCATAATATACTTAAGCAGTCATCATCATTATTATTATTAGTAGTATCTTCATCTTTAATAAATATATACATATGAATTTTATATCAAAATACTAAGATATTTGACACAAGGGACTAGTTTTAGTGTGAATAAATTATATTTTATACTATTTAACTCAAGATGATACTGTACGTATACATATAAATATATATATATATATATATTATATATATATATACACACATGTGGGTGTGTTTTTATAAATAGATCAACATATATTTACAAACATACACACGCATATATAAACACATATACAAAAACACACTTTTGTATGTATGTATTTGTATAACCCTATACAAGCTTATACTTATATACACATACATACCACACATACATTATATATAAATATACATATGTAATGTGTGTGTGGTATATATATATATATATGAATATAAGTATAAGCTTGTATAGGTATGTCTACTTTGTATAAATACATACAAAAGTGTGTTTTTGCATATGTATTTACAAGAGCACACAAAAGCAAACCAGCACACACCAGCGCGCACACTCACTTCAGCTCCAATAATATCAACCAATATCAATACAGTTACATTATACAGTCGAAAACTATCAAGTTACCTGTATTTATAGATCACATGAGTGAATTTAATCAACGAAAAAAATATCAAGGAAAAAGCAACATCTTGTTTGATCATTGGTACGTTTATATATTATATATACATATATATCTATAAATATATATATATACATATATATATATCTGTGTGTGTGTGTGTAAATATGTACAGATGATAAAAGATGGCGGAAGTGAGTCGTTGAAGGTGAGTTGATCACTTGGTGAGTTTGACCCTGCAGAGTATTTTATTCTCCCACATGGGGACGATTTGGTCGTCGTCAGTTACCTCCTCGTGCACGACACCGTCGTCGAAATCCGAGCAGGCGGTCTTGAAGAAGTACCTGGAGGGTGCAGGTTGGAGGTATAGCGTGGCGTGATCAAGTGGACAGTGTTTGTGCGTTTAAATAACCGTTTAATATAATAAAAAATAATAATCATTCAATATTCAAATAAAATATTAATTTCATATAACCAATCAATGAATCAACCAACCAATCAATCAATCAATGAATCAACCAACCAATCAACAACCAGTCAATCCCCCACCAAACCAACCTAAAATTTCCCTTCTTATTGATGAGCTGCTTGAACTGACCAAGGGTCACTCGCCGCCCGGGCACCGTAGTCCTGTAGGGTATGGACTCATCGCAAAAATAGTAGCCAACGACCGTACTGTTCACACCCACGACCGAAGACGACGACGATGAAGACTTCGTCGACGTCGTCGTCTGATTCACTGCTGTCGTCGATGTTGCTGTCATGGTTTTCTTGCTGCTGGTAAGTTTTAAAATCCCGCTGCTAATGTCATTTCATTCATTTCAATGAAGTATCATCAATTGTGATACACATACTTTATAGCGTACATATTTATATACTGATTACATAATTTCGGAAATAACAAATCACTGTTTGCAAGCAAAATGGTTGTTATCATTACAACAGCTGAGCCAGAAAAAATGAAGACAGACAGACAGACAGACAGACACATAGTGAAAGAAAAATTGACAAACCTGGTATGAGATGACTTTCTGATGGATGAGGCATCAGCTGAACTTTTGACCCTTGACGCCGACATCTTTTCACCACCACCCATCCACGTCAACACCCTAGCGTTAAATTAAAATTTAATTAATTAAACCTAATTAATTAACTAATTAATTAATAGTTGAATGGTTAATTCATTTTACAATGTAGATAAACACATGATCAACCTTTCGTTAGTGGCATCACTTAAAATTGCAGATGGAACCATAGATGAGGACGATGACATCGACGTTGATGTTAGCACATTGCTGCTGTTGTTGTTGTGGTGGTGGTAGTAGCTGTTGTTGATGTTATTTGATGTCGTGACAACATCATAGTCGGCCAATCGTTTCATACCAGATTTGTTGTGGTGGGGGTTGTTGTGTTTTGTTGGCTGGTAAGAGGAGTTGCAATCTTGAAAATGTTGATTTGGTGGTAAAAATGACGTTGACATCATCAATTGCTGGTTATGTGTTTGTTGCTGCGTTGGTAACATGGCAGTGTGAGCCAATTGTTGTTGTTGTTGCGAATTGAGGTAACTACTGTTACCTATGATGTTGCAGTTGTTGATGTTATTGTTGTTCATGATAATGTTGTTGTTGTTGATGATGCTGTTGTTGTTCATGTTGTCGTCGTTGTCAAATACAAGTTTCCTACTGCTCGTATGTTGTTGCTGCTGCTGTTGTTGAGCAAAGGATCGAACATGTTCTCGCAGCTGATCAGTTAATGTGGCTGGACATTGATGTTGCTTTTGTCTGAGTAGTTGTTGTTGTTGTAGGCCTTGTTGGAAAGATTTGTGATGACGTCGATGGTGACCATGATGATGATGATGCAACGTGTTGTTGTTTAACTGTTGTTGTTGTTGCTGCTGTTGCCTATTCACATACAGACCATGAGCCGATAAACTATCACTGTCAGCAAAATCGCATCTGTCGCAGCAACAACACTTTTCAATAATATTATTACCATCATCAGCATTTTCTATATAACCGCTCAAATTATTATTAACGTTGTTGCTGTTGTTGATGACGTTATTGTTATTAATGATGCTGTTGTTGTTGTTACTGAGGTTGTTCACGTACTTCTGAAGTTTTTGCTTCAGTTGATAGTGATAACCTGGTTGCTTGCTGCCATAGCTGCTGCTGCTAGGAGCACCAGCTAGAGAGATATTATTATTATTATTAGAATAGGCGGGAAATTTCGAACAATCTTCCCCAATGTTAGAACAATGCTGCTCTAAACATTTCATGGACTCGTATTCGTGATCGACAGGAGCAGACGACAACATCGACAATACAGATTTATTATTATTATTACTACTACTACTATTAGTTTGGCTTTTAAGATAGTTGGAAAGCACGCAAGATGGCAGCGACGAAATCCGCTGGAGATCCTGGTCTGCTTTTAGTTTATTCAGCTTCACCATCAGTAGCTCGGAAAAATGTTTTGGGTCACTCTGGCAGACGTTAGCTACTATGCCCTTTTGAGTTCTCTGTACATAATACATAAGGTAGAAAAAATTTATAATTTATAAAATCAAATATTATTATAGTATTAATTGATATTATAGATAGATGGACAGATAAATAAATAGATATATATATATATATATATATATATATATATATATATAGATATGTAGATAGATATATATATAGATATATAGATAGATATATAGATAGATATATAGATAGATAGATAGATAGATAGATAGATAGATAGATAGATAGATAGATAGATAGATAGATAGATAGATAGATAGATAGATAGATAGATAGACAAACAATTAATTTATTAATATCCAAGCAATAGAATGATAAAAATTTGCAACCCAAAATTATTTGACAAAAAAGTAATATAAATGGAATGCAAATAATAACAGAGATAAGAATTGACAGTGAGATGATTCTCTCTCAAACTGTGAAATAATTTTAAAAAATTACTAATGTACTCCTAAATAAATCCCATCCTTAAAAATAATATAAGTAATGATGATGGTGATAAGAATGAAATGACAACAACACCAACAGCATACCACTGATATAGATTCTTATCTAAGCAGCAAATTTAATACCATTCTTTATAAAACCTTACCATACCAGCCAGCCAAAGCCAAACACTAGCTCTTTCTAATCTTGAAAAACCCCAATAGAAAATTATATGACCAAGTCAACTAACAGGTATAACGAAAGAGTTTAGACAGTTGATGTTGTTGTTGACGTGTTTTACGCTATTGCTGCTGTTTACAATGTTATTGCTGTTGTGATCATTTTTCTTGTTCATCATCTGCATATGCTTTTTGTAGCTGCCCAGAGTTCGTTGTTCACGCCCATCCCTGATGTTGGGAATGGAAATTATGCTAATTAGTTAGGTGAACAAAAATTTTTTTGCAAGAGTAAGATAAATGATAAAAAACCATTTAATTGTATAATTTGTATTATTTCACAAGAGCTATAACCAGAGATAGCTTTGAATTGAATTGAAACAATCTTTTATTCAGCAAAATATCAAGTTAATAAAAATAAGTTTTATAAATATTAGGCATAAAATTGGCAAAGAACAAAACTTGAAAAAAAATTAACAACAAATAATGGGCAAATTATTTAGAATAGATTAATAGAAACAGAATAAAAGCTACAAGCGTTGCATTTAAAAAAATAAAAAAAGAGTAATTGATCACTTTTGGATAAACCATAAGCTGTCTGTCATCAAAAGAAAAATATAAATTGCCTCAATTAGCTGAATCATAAATAAGGTAATTTATTTTTATGCTATCTTCACTGAGAGGATATCAATAGAATATTGTTACGTCCTAGTTATAATCATATTTTCACACATGTGCACACATACGCATCATACACGCACACATACGCATCATACATGCACAAACACACACGCACCCAACTCAGCCAAACCCAGAAATGAAAAACAAGAAAGCACACACACACACACACACACACACTAACAAACTACTGGATGTGAAAGAAATTGCATCATCATTCATCGGGTCGCTTGTGAAGCCCTCGCTGTCTATGGCAGACGTCGCTGCAACACTGTTGTTGCAGGCAGCCAGTTGACGGTTTTCAAAACTGTAGTCGTTTTGATGGTGAGATCTAATAATAGAAACAATTAATTATTAATGAGAGTAATTTTTAATTATTTAGTAATGGCCAATTATAAAATTATATAGAAATTAATTAAAAATCATTTTAATCAGCAGCACTATTCTTCACATTTTATGTTATAATTACCTAAAACTTTTAGTGCCCGTGCTAGTCGAATAGTTGTGTGGGTCCAATTTGGAATTCTGAAAATCATCATTTGAAATGAATGACATTGAAGATATCGAAAATGATTGGTCAATGTTTTTCAACTCATGATCTTCCATTAAAGTCTCTAATCTATTGGTAACAGATCTGTTTCGATCGAGGCTATCTGAGCCACTACTGATTTTTGAATTCTCTAATTCAGTTTCAGCAAATTTTATAAAAATATCTGAGGTAAGAAATGCTGGATAATGATTTGTTTTTAAGATTAAATCGATTTCTGCTTGGGCCACATCAAAAATGCTTTCGTTGATATTTTTCGTCTTCAAAGCTTCAACTATTTGCTTCTTGACAGATGATTTTAAAGGCATAGAATCACCTTTAATAAATTTTTTATAAATAGACTTTGCTAAGTTTGAAAAGTTTTCAGGATCAGTCGAAACTTTAATTTTAAAGCCCAAACACGCAAAGTGAAAATCAATTAGTTTGTCACTAAAATTATCTCCCTTTAAATATTCTTTAAATAGTTTAACGCCATCTATATCCTGCATCAAATTATGAAAACTTTCTGTCCATTTTAAATGCAACAATCCCCCACTGCTATTACTACTCTCCTGAAAATTTTGATCCAGAGAATCACTTCCCTCCGGTTCAAATCCTAGGGGTGCCAGTGGTTCTTTGAGTCTATCATTCGTTGTAGAAAAAAAATTGTCAGATCTCTGTGAAGAAAATGAAGCATCATCTTTGGTCGTCGTTATGTTTTTGTTCTCTGGATTAGGCGGATTGGCATTGGACCTTCGTGGAGTGACGAAACTGGATTCCATTTGATTTTGTGTTTGATGGAAGTCCTTGTGGATTTGTACATTATGTAGATGGCACTGCTGCTGCTGCTGTGGTTGGGCGGACGTATTATTTATATTATTACTACTATTATAGTTATTAATATTTTGTTGATGAAGTTGTTGGGGATTTAATGAGTTCGAATCTTCTTTCCCGGGAACCGGAGGTCGCTTGGACGTCGAAAAGCACTTGGCGACGTTTCTAGCCGGAGGATAAAAATTTGACACGGACATTGCCTAGCATAATGATTTGAAATTTTGAATCTCGATTTTAATATATTTCATCTAAAACACAGCAAATAAAATTCAAACGAAGCCATTTTAGATTGTAAGCTTATCAACGACACTAAAAATTTAATAAAATTTTTATATATATTTACAGCGCACACTTTTTTCGATGCGTTGAATAAGTCAATGAAGTTGAAGTTTAACTAGAATACTAATAAATCACCACAATTTATTGAGTTTTTTTAAACAAATGGTTGATAATTAAAAAAGAATGTTAAAAATACATGAAAAGAATTTTTGATTGCATATTTGGTATGAGTTTGAACTACGAACGAACAGATCAAAAGAATCAGTATCAAATGATTTGCTATCAAAAGAGTTATTCCATCGGAGGAGAGCTCATCTGATGCTCTTTAACTTTGAATTAAAAAATACATGCATCACTCACGAACAAAAAAAAATCAATGTGCATAAAAACTTACAGAAATACAAATATGACACACTGAAACACTTAAGTAATGATGATAAAAGTTTGCACACTATACAGCATCATATATATATATATACCCATTCATACATCAATCAATCGATCCATTTATCCATCAACTCAGTCATTTATCCTTCAATCGATTCATATATCCGTTCAGAGCCAAAATTAAAACGCAGAGCAGCAAAGAACTGGAAGCCCCAAATATTTAGTGCTGGTATTTTATTATCAGCATGCCAATAATTTGCTTTTTAAAAGTTGGTGACTTGTTCGCTTTATAGCAACATTTTTAAACAATTCCTTATCTGACCCACCTTCAATCCGGCCCTGCATCCGTCCATTCATTCATTTTTTGCCCTGTCTTTAAACCTTTCTAATCTATTTCATCTTCATCATTAAAAGAATTTCCTAAACAATTTTTAGTACAGTTAGTACATTTTCAAGCCATATTTAGTACAATTGGTAAATTTTTTAGCCAATCATTTCGCGAATGAATTAAAATGTTTTAATCATTTCCAAATCTATCCATATTTATTGTAAATGTTATTAATCGTTATTAAACTTTTCAATCAATGTCATATTTCAAAGATAAATTACATTACCATTCATTTCCATATTTTACTTATTTAATAATTAAATTATTTATTTTATATTTCAACTAATTAAACCATAAGCTGAAATTTTATTTAGGAAAAAATTACCGACTAATTATAACAATTCTATAAAAATATATTATAAGGAAATCTATATAAGGTAACGTATGCGATTCAATGAGAGTTACTTCAAATGCAATTGGAAAGAAAATTGAAAAAATCGATTTAAAAAAATTAATATAAACAAGTAATATGAGATTGAAAGTTCAATATTATGTAGTACAAATTATATAATAATAATAATAATAAAATAATAATAATAATAAAATAATAATAACAATAGCAACAGTAAGCAATGGTGAGCTAATTTGTACTTTACAATTACATCTTGACCATCAATTCGTTGAAAGATATTTTGCAATAATGATTAACAATAATAATATAAACAAAAATAATAATAACAATAATAATAATAGCAACAACAATAACAATAATAATAAACACTATATGAACAATCACAAAGTTATCAGAAACAAAACGTATATACAATATAAAGGGTATAGACAAATAACGAGAAATAACAATAATTGCAATAATAATAATAATAATAATATAATAATATAACTCCATAACACCATATAAATATATATATATATATATATATATACATATATATATATTTAACAACGAAAACAAAGAAGTAATAAAAACTAGCATCGTAAATAGTGACAAAGAAGAATATGATGCTATCGATGAAGAAAAGGAGACCAATTAAGAAACCTGACACCTAATTCGCATCAAAGTTCAATTTTACAACACCAAAGTTAATTTTTACAATGTCAAAGTTCATCTTGACAAAGTCAATATTTCCCTATATATACAGCAAGGAGCACTGATGATGATTCATTCGGAATCGAAATATGGCCTTATTTGCCTTAATTCGAAAAATAAGTTTATTTTGAATTTTAATAAACTAAACGTTCACCAAAAAACTTTTGTGAGAAAAATCGAAAAAACGAACTACAAACATATTAACGCCAAACATTCGGTAGAATTTAAATTGTAAATATATATATATATATATATATATATATATATATATATATATATATATATATATATATATATATATATATATATATATACATATATATATATATATATATATATATACAGAGAGAGATTTTTCAAATCATTTCT